TTTCAGACATTTTTTGCTACCTTCTTGTTTTTTAAACTCCACGGGTTGTTGTGTGAATTTGACGATCGTAGTAAATATTTTGAATATTACATTCCTGAGAAAAGGTACAAACACGAGTAGTGTTTTTGATGTTACATGACGTCATGACATTTTCACGCAAACAAAATAGGATGTAATGACACGCAGATATTAGCAGCTCGTTACTCCTACAGTAAGCGTCATGAATGGATGCTTGTAGAACCAAACTTCCATTTCACCCCATCATGCAATCCGGAAACCATTGCTTCACTAATGACATTTCTCAAGTGAGTAGGTTTTAATTTCTTTTTTACATCTATTATTTTCATTAATCCAACACAGTTTATTGAAGGAATGAAGCTTTTTTTTCAACTTTTGTTATACGATATAACATAACTTGGGACAGTTTACGCTTTATAAACCGCGAAGACAATGACACAATTTTTCCTCCGGAAAAGGTTTCAAATTTAGCATATTTTAAAAGTAATGTCAAGCGGAGTAATACGTTTTTGACGTGACTTAATGTGACATAGGCAAGTTATGTTATACAAATGGATTAAATCTTTTATCCAATCAAATGACGTGTTACAACTAAAATTAAATTATATCTTTATACAAGAAAGAGTGTTGAATATCTACTTTCAGGATTGTCAAGTTTTTTTTGAAATTCAACAAAGTGTTTCTCGTATAAGCACATCATGTGAGACAACCTTTCCAAAATCCATGCATATTTGACAAACCTATTCATTTTAAGTTACAGAAGTATATTACTAGAATAAGGTTTTCTTACCATAACTTAAGTATAGAAACAGGAAGATATAATAAAATTGAGAGAAGATATATGTCAATTTTGTAGTGATCACTGTGTAGAAAATGAATTTCATTTTTGGCTTGAATGTCTTGTTTATGAATCTTTACGAAAAAAAATATCAAACCATATTATTTCAGATTTCCAAATATGTACAAGCTTATTCAGCTTTCATGATGTATGTGTTTCAAATGGATGAGGAAAACTTATTCTTCGCCCAATGGAATTAAGAAATAATGAATAATTTAATCTATATGTATACTCGTACATGCATTAGGTGTCATAGTTATTATACTCCTCTAATACAACTGAATGAAATTTAATGAAATTTTCACAGAATCTTTGTTACAGTGTCTATTGTACACCTCCTAATTTACTTTTTGATCGGACACATATTCTCCCATAGCAAAATATGGACACTGCCATTCTTTCTATAATATTGAAGGGCCCGCCGAAATATGGCTGAAATATTGCCGACTTGGCGTTAAACAATATAAAATCAATCAATCAATAATATTGAAGGGTATCCATCTTTTATCCGCAACTCCTCTTACACCACAGAATGAAATTTCATGAGACTTTCACAGAATCTTTGTTACAATAGTGCCATTCTGCACCTCTTATTTTACCTTTTGATCAGACATATATTTAGGGTTTCCCATTGCAAAATATGGACACTGCATTCTTAAAAGGGTATCCATCTCTTATCCGTAACTCCTCCTATGCCATTGATTAAAATTTAATGATACTTTCAGAGATTCTTTAATACATAACGCCATTGTGAATCTCCTATTTATTTCTTGATCTAACACTTGGTCTATTTCTTGTCTCCCAGAGATACATAGACTTTGTCATTATAATGGTATGGGAGGCAAGGGGTATCACTTAGTGAGCACGCTGCTCACAGTACCTTTAAGTTCACATGTATTAATGGAGAATTTAGAATACATTCTGTAATTGTTGGTGTTGAGCAGCGTGGCTTTAAATTATTCAATATCTAAAATTGATATATTTTAATACATATTTTTTTATTTTACAAATTTTATCAATAGAAAGTCAAAGATGAAAATGGACAGTAATATCCTATACTCAATAGCTATTATTATATGACTAGTACCCCAGGTGAAGATGTTTCCAAATAGCGGTGTAGAACTCCATGTCCAATATATATAATAAAATGTTTTGTTTTGGTTGTTAGTACGGGAATTAATGTCGCAGCTGATGCACAAAAATAAATATGTATTTTTTTCTGCAATAGCTGCGACATTAATTCCTGTACTAACAAACAAAGATACATGTAGACATTTTTGTTTATATTTGACGTTGCTCCGTTACCCTATTTTTACTGTTCTAATTCTTTGATAATTTTTATAAATATGAAGATATATTCCATTTTTGAACTCAAATTATTCGAATTTGCTGTTTAATCATGTGTACCAAATTTAGATATATAGACGTTAAATAAAAAAAGTTAGGACAAAAGTGTATTAACTTTTTGAATTAACCTCATACATTTGTATGAAAAAAATTCAAAGTAAAATTAAAAATGTTAAATATTGTATTTTAGATAAATATGTCATTGTATGCATCACTGATGGAACAGCCATTGTTCAAGAATCATGGCTTAATTTAATTGATACAATATTTTATTATGTAAAACATAACAGGATTGGACAGCAGGCACTTCCTGTGTAAGTCCTCTCCATACGCGGCTTGCTTAGTGTCGTTTATGCACTGATTAATGGTGATGGTCTTCATACGAAATAAAGGGAAAAATATTAAGTGGATGTAGATATTATGTAATAATCAAATTAATACTTTGAGCCCTATAATGACCAAACTTGCATGGATGGTACATCTTAGGATGTATTCTACTAAACTTGCTTCGGCTGCTGAATCTGACCTACATTTTCCGGTTGAGTGAACAGGTTGAAGTTTTTGATGCAGGTTTCATTTCCAAGTAATAATCTCCACTTAGAAACCTTGAACTATAAGGCCTCTAAAATCAGGAACAATGACAAATCAGGCAGAAATACTAGGAATTTTATATAATATTTTGACTTATAGGACATTGTTCCAATTGAAACTAATATTGGTAGAGGCTTTTATACCTCATACTAGTCGTGATGCGGATTATTTTAAATACTGACATCTGATATGGTCTTATCTATGTAAGAACAAAGATCTTGACCTTTAATTAAGCTTTTTATCAGTTTTAAAGGTACTTGACCATAATGGTAAGATGTTTAAATTTCAAACAATCTATTTCTAGGATAATTTAAATTCTAATGTTTCAATATAGGGAATGTATTGCAACAAAACATATCGATGTTTTTTTATCATGATGTTCATTGAGTGCAAAAATAACCTGAAATGTAATAGAATGAATTTATAAGTTAAACTCGATAAATTAAAGTCTAGGCTTTTTGATATCATTGACAGCTGCTTTTCCAATAAAAATGGAACTCGTATATTTACTCATCTTATCATTGGTCATATGCAAAATTATTTTGTTAAAAACTTTCTGATTGTACACACAAGTATACTCTGAAATTGATACCGGTATTAAAAAGAGTCTCGGATTGACAATATATCTACTAAAGTGTTGTTTTTGGAGACCAGGTCTTCCAAAAATCTATTGGAAATACCATGGGTACCAATTGCACCCCGTTATTAGCAGACCTATTTTCGTATTCAAATGAAGCAGAAATTGTCCAAAATTTTAAACGTTAAAAGAAGAAACAACTTGCTTGACCTTCAACTCGATATTTAGATAAATATCGACGATGTATTGTCAATTAACAAATGCTTTTTACATTCTTTAATGTCGATACGATGTATCCCGGTGAGCTTGAAATAAAAGATACCACAGAGTCTGACATATCTGTTTCATATTTAGATATTTTACATGAAAAAGACGTTAATAGTAATCTAACAATCAAGCTTTATGACAAACGTGATGACTGTAACTTTTCAGTCGTCAACTTCCCTTACTTATGCAGCAATATACTTTCGTCACCTGCATACGCGGTTTATATCTCTCAGTTGATTCTATATGCAAAAGCATGCTCTACATATGAATAATTTTGAAAACGAGGTAAGTAATTGACAAACAAGTTACTGAAAGAAGAACATCAGCAGTCTCTAAGTCATCATTTCGTAAGTACTATGGTCGATACCATGACCTTTTCAGCAAATACAATTTATCATTAAATCAAATACTGACTGACATTTTTCATTCTAATTGTTGGGCCATTATTTACACACTGAATTGTCGACGGATTTTCCGATCATGGCAAGGAGCACACGGTGGGTATGACCGGTCTGAAGGGGATGCTCTCTCCTTCCTGTGGTAAGAATGAATTAACACACATTAAATCAAAATTTAATTGTTGGGCCATTATTTACACACTGAATTGTCGATAAAAAAGATACCCGAGTTTCTGATCCCACCTCTGATGTTTTGGAGGTCCGTGTTTGCTCTGCTCCTATTTTATTTTGTTTTGTGGACTTTTGAGCTCGAATACTGATCGTTATCTACATATATTTCACTAAAAAGTAACATGGGTAGATACAGTGTATTAGATTTCTTTTGAATATTTTTTTCTTTCAAGTGCAGAACAAAATGGTCTGTTTTCAAAAATGAGACTTAATTAATTGTAGGAAATTTCAATGTAACTTTAAGTGGATTGGTACGTCAATAACGCAAGATACTTTGACGTATAGGCAACATATGTTACGAAAGAAAAAAAATGTTTGTTCTTATGAAGGGACTGAATCAAATCATGGAATTTGTCTTTAATGCACGGTAAATAAATAATACTGAATAATAATAAATAAATAAACTATATTAAACAATTAAATTTAAAAAAAAAATCATAAATTTATAAACCCTAATACTGTATATCCTGTAATAAAATAAAAATTATAAAATATAAGTGTAATCCCTTTTTATACAGGTCCCCAAGGAAATCTGAAACAAAATTGAGATGTGTAATTCCTGTCGAAAATAATAAGAATTTTATATCTTCGGATCTTTAGAACCAGATGTGACAACTTTAATGAAGTCTCCGAGGATTATGTGACGTACCAGATTTGAAATGAATGATGACACTATGTTACAAGTGTCTATAAGAATTTCCAATATCTGAGAGATTTTCTATTTTTTTTGCAGAACACAGCCTGGGTGGATATGAGCTCGTTGGTTTGTGTTAGTTTACTCTTATGCGGTTATGTGACATCAGAACAGATTCGATTTGACGGGTAAGTTTTTTTTTCTCTTTTGAAAAATAACTTCAAAATATAATTATTTAGGGTTAAAAAAAATTATTTCAAATTCTTAACATTAATTCTTTTTAAATAGATTAATCATAAATCTTTATAAATATAAATTTTAATGTACAATGTATTTTCCCCACTTCACAAAACATTAATTTTCTCTTCTGTCTTTACTCTTAATATTACCCTCCTAAAATCCATGTTCTTGATATTACTAGAATAATACTGGCCTGTTGCTTCAATTACTTAGATTTTAAAAGAATAATATCAACCTTTTTTAAAGATCCATTATAAAGAGATTTCTAAAACAGGGCAAAGATTTCCGGTATATAAATGTTACGTTACAAAGAATCTTTAAAAAATAAATCAAAGATACATGTATTTAATTAACTTACAAATAAAACACTATTTAACATCATCATTATATATACATGATTATATTTTTTGCTTGCAATCAGTTTTAGGTTTAATATTTGTATAAATAATTACATGTATTTGACAGTGGAAGCATTCGTTTATTTATAATCAATAATGTAAAACTAATCTAGGATTCAAGAAGGACAATGCTCCACTTTTGTTGGAATTTCTTCGAATCCTTCCAAATTAAGTAATTAAAAAAAATTCTTAATCTGTCCCTTTTTTGGCTTGTAAATGTTTCCACATCTCTAGAATTAAAAAAACAACAACTAAGGTCTACTGTGATTCTACATAACATATTTTTACAAATGTATGTTTTCTTTTATTAATTTGACATTCATTAATTACCTACTTGCGACAGAATCGATTTGATAAACGTAATGAGGAGAGTTAAAAATAAATTTGTGAAAAATTTCTGATTTATATTAATGATTAAATCTTAAGGACAGATGCGGTTTTTAAAAAATTTATTTAATATCGTGAACACAATTCAATACTTTATAATATTGAGCACAGAAATAAACTCAGGTATCAAATAACTCTCAGAAACGACAGTGTGGATTTTAATTACAGTACATTAATTAATAACTTTGATCACTACCTTATCCCTTAAATTATATGTTGGTTAATTTATCAGATTAAATTTTCAGCCACAAGGTGCTGCAGATTGTGCCTCATTCAGATGACGAACTAAAACAGGTGCTGGCTATACACGACCTTTATGATGTAAGTATTAAAACTTACCAAAGGTCTCTCTAGATCAATGATAAGAAAAAATATGCATACCAGGATATTATTTTTTAACCACAAAATTTTTTCATCTTCGTTATTTTTCTCGCTGTTATTTAATGATTACATTGCCTTTATATTGCGGACAAATCTTTTATTTCTCTGTAATACAGTACATTTCAAAACTACATATGTATGTTTTTTTTTCAAGATTGATTCACAATTACCAGTAAGGCAATATTTAGATAAATCGTATTTATTAAATTCATGAGTCGAAGTAACTGCTAGCATCTTCTATTTAATGGAAGTAAGCGGTGAAATCTACTTTTAGGTCCTGAAAATAACAATTGTTCATTTATATTTATGTCATATTGTAATTTTTTTTTAATTTTTTTAATTCAAAAATTACAATATGACATTTAAAAGGAAATTATACCAAAATCTAGTTTTAATTACCTCATTGCTCTACGTATGAACAATTTCTAAAACGAGGTAAATTATTGACAGGCAAGTTGATGAAACAAGAGTATCAGCAGTCTTGTTTAAAGTCATCGTTTCGTAGGTTCTATGGTCGATACAATGACCTTGTCAGCAAATACAGTTTATCATTGAGTCAAATGCTGACTGACGTTTTTCATACTAATTGTTAGTCCATTATTTATACACTGAATTGACGACGGATTTTTCCGTTATTTCCCGATCATGACAAGGAGCACACGGCGGGTGTGACCGGTCAACAGGGGATGCTCACTCCTCCATGGCACCTGATCCCACCTCTGATGTTTTGGAGGTCCGTGTTTGCTCTGCTCCTATTTTGTATTGTTTTATGGACTTTGAGATTGAATACTGTTCGTTATCTCCATATCCCTCTCAAAACATTCATGGAATATTTCAGGAAAAAAGAATTTATTTCTTATCTTCTTGATTGTTAAAAAAAATAACAGAGATTTTTAAGACCAGTATTCTCTATTGAAGCTTGATATGTGGCGACATCCACGAAGGGGGAATCACTCTATGGAAGTTTACGTAGAGCCGGAGAAACTGGAATCAGTATTAAGTGTCCTTAAAGATATAGGAGCTCACGTCAAGATCTGGATCGACGATCTACAAAAGTAAGTCAAAAAATTATAGGAGCGTTAAAACATCTTTCTTGAAATGTTAGAAAAAGTTACTACCATTCTTAATGGATTTTTGGAAAATGTTAAGCACGTGAACATCAATCCAAGTCTTAGAAACCTAAACATGATAAACATACAATCTACACAGTTAAACCAATCTAATTGAAATCAGATCTTTGATCCGCTCCATCTAAAATTGCTACACACAGTAGCGATTTTTTTGGAGCGGATCAAAGATTGCTGATAAACTACACTCCCTGTTTCCATTGATATTGTCCGAATTAGACGACATTCTGGATTATCTTTAAACAGTCAAACTCTCTTTCCAACATCTCGGCAATTCCATGGGAATCGATTGCGCTCCATTATCAGCAGACACGTTTTACATTCATATGAAGCAGAATTTATTCGAAATCGTCTTCACAAGAAAAAAAACGTATTCGAAATCGTCTTCACAAGAAAAAAAAACGTATGCCGTGGCTTTCAACTCGACATATACGAGTATCGACGACGTATTATCAATTAACAACATCTACTTTCATTCATGTGTGGACTCGATATAAATTGAAATAAAAATGAACCACATAGTGTATGGCACCTGTTTCATAAATTGGGTATTTTACTAGAAAAAAAAAAACGCTAATGGTAACTCAAAAACAAAGAATTATGATAAACGTGATGACTTCAACTATTAAATCAACTTTCCTTACTTATGATGCAACACACCCTTATCACTAGTCTCCCAATTGATTTGATATGTTAGAGCATGCACTACGTATGCACAATTTCTAAAACAAGGTAAGGTATTGACAAACAAGTTGATGAAACAAGAACACCACCAATATCGTTTAAAGTCATCATTTCGCAAGTTTTACAGTCGATACAACGACTTTGTCAGTAAGTGTATTCTATCATTAAACCGAATGCTGACTGACATTTTTCATACAAATTATTGTTAGACCATTATTTGCACACTGAATTATCTACGGCTTTTTCCATTAGCCCGATCATGACAGGAAACACACAGTAGGTGTGATTGGTATGTAGGGGATGCTTACTCCTCAATGGCACCTGAGCCAGCCTCTAATATTTTTATATGTCCGTATTTACCCTGTTCCCGATTTGTATTGTTTAAATGGACTTAAGGCCTTAAATACTGTTTCTTATAATTTCATTTAAGCGACACACCGTCTCGTGTTTATTTGTTTTTTAACGTCCCTTCGAAATATTTTCACGCGTATTGAGATACCACACTCGCAGGTGGAAAGCTGGGTATTTAGACCTGTACTCGAGCATTGAGCAGTGACGTATTTTTTGCCCCCCTGCGACACAGGACCTCGGTTTATAGGTATAATCTATTATATCTGGTTCCTGAATTATCTCTTTCATATCTTTCTCTCACGTGCAAAATTCTGACGTAAATAAAACCCTATATTTGATAACCTTTCTAATATAATCACTATTACTGTATTTGACCTCCTGTCATAAAAATCACATCAGGTTTTTGAAGTGTCTAATATGTTATCATGTACGATTATATACGCACATTATTTGAGGTCTTTCAGTAAGTAATTTAATATAAAGAACATCAGTAGCAATTCAATGTCATTTTCACACAACCTTTTTGGGTCACCTAAGACTTAAATGAACTTTTTCAAATTCTAAATTGAAAATATTTAGCATTTGTTTCTCTTTTTTCTGTTGTCTGTAAATTTTTACAATTTAACTTCTTCTTTACAACATATCTTTGCCGTTTTCCTTATATTCCTATATTCCTGAGGAAAAGGTGGGACCACAATAGAGAATCAAAGATATAGAATATATCTTTCAAACTCTTTTTCTCAAAGAATAGCAAAGCCGTGATTAGAAACATTAATTCAAAACCATCCTTATATAGTGTAGATACAAGTGTGTTCAAATCATGATCCTTGGGGTCAGGGTTGGGACACAGTAGAAGATCAGTGTCAATACATGTAGGGGGGGGGGGTATAAAGGAAATATAAAAAAGCACACAAAGGGTGTGACCGGTCGACAGGGGATGCTTACTCCTCCACGGCACTCGATCCCACCTCTGATGTTTTGGAGGTCCGTGTTTGCTCTGCTTCTATTTTGTATTGTTTTATGGACTTTTGATCTTGAATACTCTTCGTTTTCTTTATATTTTTCATATCGCAAATTTTAATGACTAGGAAGACCAAACGAGAAGCCGTATTAACGAAGTATCTTGACGTAGTGTAGATTCAATTTTCTAATGCATTTACTAATTGGGAAACGAATAACCGGTCCTGATTGCAACTCTGTCTGAATTAATTTCAAACATTTGAGATGAAATTTACAAAGGAATCAAATTCCAATAAAAACATGCCAAAAACATGAAAAAAGACATGTGGAAGACATTTCAGGGGATTGAAAATTCCTGTGAATATCAAACGAAACTGACATCAGGGTTGTTATTTGTGCAAAGGAGAAAAAGAAAATATCAAGCATGACTGAAAACAATAATCAAAGGGCACCATTTATGATACCTTAAACTTGCCCTTTTATTTAGTAGAAATGTATTATTTTCCAAAATGTGCATTGAAGAAGTCCTCAAACGTATGCTAGATTAAAAAAATTAAGCTGTATTTTTCTCAAGAATCACTGGGTCAGAAAAAAATTCCAATTTTAAGACTACAAAGGCTTTAGGGATGACATAATGTAGATCCAACAAAGCAATGATTATTGATCTAAATATGCCAGCAATCTCGGGTAGAATATCATTTAAAAATTCATTTCTCAAGAAACACTGGGTCAGAAAACATTTTGGTTCCAGGGGGTAGGGTGGCGCAACAAAAGAAGGTGGAAGTTTTACATCGGACGCAAAAGAAAAAATCTTATTCTCAAAAACAACATGGATATGATAAGTGACAGTAGTCCTCAAGGGTTAGGGCAGGGTCACAACTGGAAATCAAAGTTTTACATAGGAATATAAGGGGAAAATTATAAAGACCTTCATATCAAGAACTAAAAAAAACAAGGACATGGTTAGTAATAATAAAATGCATGCATAATTAGGCAGTGTATACTACCCCTCGGGTAGGATGATTCAACATTAGGAGATCTGATTTCTACAGTCAAGTCTCGTTAGACTGGTGCTTCGCCTTCCGTACGAGATTTGTCAGGAACCGATTTAAACTTTACATCTACAAATAATAAAAAAAAATTTCAGTTAGGCGGACCTTCATTAATTCAGAATTTGCTCCGGAACACCTGCGTTTGCATTAACAAATCTCGAAAAAAAATCTTTACAATAAGTACAACAACAACAACAAAAAAAAAAAATTAATATCCATACATTAATATGCAAGTTTCCTCGGGTAGTGCAGCTTCAAATGTTTAAATCAGGTAAGTTTGGGCCACAATATGGGATGTACAGTATCTGTCCATAAGTATATTGGGAATAAGTGTATATCAAAAAGTAAAACCTAAATTTAATTGCACGTAACTGAGTAAACTAACCTCTATCACTAGTACTTTGTGTTCTTTCGCTCTCAAAACAAAGTCTACCCAAACGAATTAGGGCTGTTTTGAAAGCCAAAGGACACAAAGAGGAAAAACTTCATATTTTTCTTAAGAACAGCACGGAACAGTCATACTCGTAAAAATTATATTGAGATTACCAATTATCAGCAATCTAAAAGCACCCATAGTGTGTAGTGTAGATTCAAAATATTGTATGTGAATTTGTGATCCAAGAAACTAGGATAAGGGCTCAATAGTTTACAATGATATATAGAAGATCGTTTGTAATTAGAGAGGACACAATACGCAAACATTCCCAGGGTAATTCAAATTCAAGCCTGCTCGAGTTTAGTGTCATTGGCTAGGATGGGTTCACAATTGTGATAATAGTTTAACGTACACTCGAGTTCTGTTATATAAAGATAGTTTTAAGAGTACATGGTCCTTCTTTTTTAAAAAATATTGTTTGTCCATGTTTTTAAGTTCTATATTTGATAAAAAGGTTCTTTTCATTGTTTCTTATATTTTTTGAAATATATTTCTTTATGGATTTTTAGACTCGTCGATGAAGAACAGTCTTCCATAAAAAGAAGTATTCTTTTGCCATACAGTTCTCAGGGAAGAAATCAGGGCTTTAACCATTTCGCCTACCATAGATATTCCTCGGTAAGATTCACACACTACTACCTTCATCACCACCGCAAGATTTACGTATTCTCCATATTTCACTTGAAAAAAAAAAGACGTGAACTTAACAAAGCTTTTTGATAAAAGGATTGACTCCAACTTTTCAATCGTCAGTGTCCCATTCTTATGTAGCAACAAACCCTTGTCACCTACCTATGATTTTTATGTCTCTTAGTTGATTGGTTGTGAGAGCATGCTATACGCACAAACAATTTCTAAAATGAGGCAAGCTATTGATAAACAAGTTGTTGAAACATATGGAGATAACGAACAGTATTTAAGTCCATTAAACAATAAAAAATAGGAGCAGAGCAAACACGGACCTCTAAAACATCAGAGGTGATATCAGGTGCCATGGAAGAGTGAACATCCCTTGCCGATAGGTCACACCCGCCATGTGCTCTTTGTCATTATCGCGAAAAAAAGAAAACTCCGTCGACAATTCAGTGTGTAAATAATGGACTAACAATTAGTATGAAAAACATAAGTCAGCATTTGACTCAATGATAAATTGTATTTGCTGATAAAGTCATTGTATCGACCATAGAACTTACGAAATGATGACTTTAGACGAGAATTCTAATCAACTTGTTAGTCTATAATATACCTCATTTAGAAATTGTTCATACATAGAGCATGCTTTTGCGTATCGAATCAACTGAGAGATATAAACCCCTTATGCAGGTGATGAAGGTATATTGCTGTATAAGTAAGGGAACTTGACGATTGAAAAGTTAAAATCACGTTTATCATAGAGCTTAGTTGTTATATTACCATTAACGTCTTTTTCAAGTAAAATATCTAAATATGAAACAGATGTGATATCTTTTATCTCAAGCTTACCGGGATATATCGCATCGACAATGGAAATAACTATTGTTAATTGCAATACGTCGGCGATATATCTAAATGTCGAGTTGAAGGCTACAGCAAGTGTTTATTTCCAAGTCTAAGATTTTGAGCAAATTCTGCTTCAAATGAATACAAAAATGGGTCTGCTAATAATGGGACGCAATTGGTACACATGGAAATTCCAATAGATTGTTGGAAAACCTGATCTCCCAAAACCACAAAGACATTGTCAGTCAGAAACTCAAGCATCAGTGTCAAATGATGAAACAAGAATATGAACAGTTTCGTTTAAAATCACCATTTTACATGCAAGACCTACGGTCGATACATTGACCTTGTCAGCAAATACAGTTTATAAGTCAAAGGCTTATGGACATTTTCCATACTTATTGTTAGGCCTCTATTTATACCCTGATCTGTCTACAGATTTTCTGCTTTATCCGATCATGACAAGGAACACTGCGGGTGTGACCGCTCGATGGGGATGCTCACTCCTCCATGGCACCTGATCCCAACTCTGACGATTTAGAGGTCCCTGTTTGCTCTGATTTGTATTGTTTGAACTGACTTTTGAGCTTGAATAATGGTCGTTACCTCCATGTTTCATTTTTCATTAAAAAATTGAAAATATTCACAAAATAATAATAAATTTACGGTTTCTGTTTTTTTATGTGTTTTAAAAAAACCCACAAAATTTTTCATGCTACCAGCCATTCATGGTGTTAAGGAGTGGCATTTTATGAACAAACTGAACCATTGAATATGTGCACAGGTTGCCTTCCTAATTACTTGTATATCTTTTGAGCGTGAGTGTTCGGGGAAAGGGATATTTTTGGCTTTTGCAAATAATACGTACGCGCTCTGCATTATTGAATTTTCACACATTTTACTCTTTGAACAAAATCTGAGTTAAAGATTTAATTAAAAAATATATCACTATTTTTTAGATTAATCAGTATTTACGAGATGTAGCTACAGCGACATTGTCTATGTCCTCAGTTAATGCCAGCGTCTCCACCATAGGATACACGGCCGAGGGGCGGGAAATTAACGTTCTTAAGGTCAGTTCTGTTCTGTTCTTAGTTCACTTGTTGTTAATATTTATTAACTGGGCAATTAATAACATAAATTGACTTTAAATAAAAGTTAATAACTGAACTACTTTCAAATAAAAATGAACAAAACTCACAATAAAAAAAAAAACAAATGTCAAATTAAAACTGGATTTTGGGAAGTAAACATTTTAAAAATCTTTTTCGTGTAATGTAAGTTATAGTGAAATCTAGACGAAATTATCAATTAATCAGTATTAGTTAAAATATTATTTCAGTCATGTTATTTTTATTAAAACTTTCTTTTTTTATCTTCATTTGCTAGGTTACTCGTGGAGACCGTATTTCACGCCCCTCCATTTTTATTGATGGTGGGATCCACGCCCGTGAGTGGATAGCACCAGCTACTGTTTTATATTTTATAAATCAAGTAAGAATTAAATTCATGTATTTCAATATTAAAAATTATATTATATTCTTGTTTGATAATTTAGGTATATATCTACCAGTAAACTTTGCAAATGTTCACATTTTTTCTTTTAAAAAAGAACATATGATTGCATAATATACTAGATTTTCAGCATACCTGGTACCAAATAAAAACGGCAAGTTTAGTCTGTTTAAATTCAAAAGGATGACGTAGAAACGATGTGGCTTCTTTATAATAAAATCACAATTCAATACTAAAATTCTTTTCATTAGATTTTTGTGCTGCATCTATGTTTGGTTTTTATAACATTTAAGGTATGCCACCCTTGAAATTTGTTAAATCAAGGATTTTTTTTTTGAGAAGTATATTTTGGATAAGTACTCATATAGTATGAATCAAATCGCTAAGAAAATAAGGGGTCGATGTTCATCTTACTGAATTAGGGTACAATTAAGTTGACCTTTTTGCACATAAATTTAAACTCTTTGGTTAATCACTTTAACCTTTATCATAGTTTATCATATGTAACCATAGCGATAAATATTATCTTATTTTACGTAAAATAGTTCAAATAATATTTATCATTGAACAAATCTCGCACATTAATGCTCGTAAATTATTGTGTGACCTTTTTGCACTAAAAACGTAACATAAATTTCGGAATCAAATATCTAAAAAGGCAATAAAATATTTTCTTGTATCAAACATTTTACGACTTAAGTACTGATCAGTCACAAGTATCGAGTAGTTAAAGATAATGAAAGAAAAAGTTTGGGTCAGTGATGTAAATTTTGAAATATTGGTCAAAATATGCGATTTTCAGGTATAAGACGGTGTAAATTTATCTTGACTTCTTTAATACATCTTCATTCATTTCTCGCCTTGGTTTGTTAGCGAGAGGTGTAAAATTTGTTCTAAAAATATAAATTGAGACCTATATTTAATATTTATAACATATAACGGAAAATATTCTCTGAGTAAAAGTGTATGAGGCTAAAGTTCCTAGATATTAAATTTAACAATAATTATCCTTTTATTCAGTTAGTATACGGAGACGAGTTTGGCTATGCCTCACAGTTGCTGAATAAATTTGATTGGTTTTTTGCTCCTCTGCTGAATCCAGATGGTTATGAATATTCACACACAAATGTAGGTACCAAGACAAAAGTGATACAGCCTTATTGTCCACTTTATATGTCTGTAGAGCGTTACTGATTTTTAAAAAAAATTCCTTTAACTTTACAGTACAGACTTTGGAGGAAGAACCGAGTAGAACACCGAAGGAAGTGCTTCGGAACAGACCTGAACAGAAACTTCGGATATCAGTGGAATCCAGGTCAGATTGCATCATCGTTAAGTTTCTATTTTTAACTCTTTTTTAAGTCACCCATGTAACTTTAGTGACCTTAGGTTTCTGAACAAGTTTATTCATATTTTATCTTTATCTGATTCTGACCATATAGTCAATTCTCTGTTATCCTTGGACTTTCAGTTCGGCGCCACATTCTCGGTGTTACATAATTAGCGTCTGAAATTTACACAGCCTTTCATTCAATGTTGAGATAAACAAGGGATAGAAATTCGGGTGAATGTTAACGAGTGTAGCAAGGATCCAATCACAACGTTTCGTACGGCGAAGATGTGAGGCTAAAGTCGTCTCATCGTTGTCAACAAGAATTTACAGTTGCTGATGTTATTAATTTCTTAACCAATGAGAATCTGAGAGACGCTAATTACGTAGCTTCGAGAATGTCACGCCTCATTGAAAGTCCAAGGATGACAGAGAATTGTACAATTGATATACTTTCCATTATAACAACTAGAGAACAAGGGAAGAAATTAATAAAGTTCAGGGTCCATGCATTTCTTAGATAGTTAATCTTAAAAAATTAACCCCTGAACACCTTGGACTTTCAGTAAGGCCTACGTAATTAGCGTCCCTCAAATGGCGACCAAGATTCTTATTGGTTAAGAAATTAATTACATCAGCAACTTTAAATTGTTGTTGACAATGACGAGATGACTTAAGCCCCATCTCTTTCCCGCACGAAACGACGTCATCAGATCATGCTTTACTCGTTGACATTCGCCCGAATTGTTTCAACAGTGAATGAAAGGCTGTGTAAATTTCAGATGCCAATTAAAGGTCGAGAATGTCATGCTTTACTGAAAGTCCAAGGATTACAGAGAATTGTACTAATATGTCCTTTTTTCTACGAATGCCACACTAGTGACTTTTTTATGAATACAATGAGTACAGAACTCTAAATGATGAAATCCTTAGAATCCTGAATATCCTCCAATCTGTGATTCTTCATAGTCTCCATATTCTGATCCTGAATTACTAGTATACCCATCACTTTGATCAAGTAAATATTTTCAATACTCTGGTCATGAATGAAACATATAGAGACAAAGAACAGAATTCAAGATCAAAAGTCCATAAAACAAAACAAAATTGGAACAGAGCAAACCCATACTATGATCCTGGATATCCTTCATACTCTTAACTTGAATATCCCCTTTACTCTGATCTTGAATAGTCCCTTATATTCTGATCATTTTTATTACCATACTCTGATCTTAAATAAGCAATATTCAGGACCCTTTGTCTTGAATATCCATCATATCCAAATCCTAAATATTCCCCAAACTCTGATCCTGAATATCCCCATACACTGACCTGAATATCTCCCATACTCATATGATCTTACGACTAAGACCAAATTTCAATTCTGCTAATAACATTCTTATTTAGATTAAATAGAAAATAATGTTTATATTTTTAAAAGACATGTAGAAAGATCTTTTTATATTATGCTAGCAATTTCAAACAAAATAACTAATTTTGCAAAATTTTACAATAAATTGAAGTTTAAGGTCTTAGTCGTAAGTTCTTTTGTAAAACGGGCCCCTGGAAATAAAGTGAACGAGGACTCAGTTTAAAAGGAATTTGCCTATACCGACATAAGTTTACATTTATGTTCATTTCTTTGATTTCAAAAGGGCTATATTTTCACTAAATATGTAGCATTCCTTACATCAGAAGATAATTTTGACATTTCAGCGATCGGCGGAAGTACTAACGTGTGTTCGGATGTGTATTCTGGTTCTCAGGCGTTCTCTGAGAAGGAGAGCCAGGCGGTGTCCACATTTATCACAGACAATAAGCAGAACATGCTGGCCTACCTGACGTACCACGCCTACGGTCAGATGTGGCTGTACCCGTGGGGCTTCACATCAGCTCTACCCCCAGACTGGCAGGACTTGGTAAGTCTTACGCTCGCAAATTTATCTTAAAAATGGTTTCTTTACATCTGAAGCAAAATCAAATTTAAAGAAACTTTTTACTTGTTGATATAGGATGCTGCTGCTAAGACTGGGACAGCTGCTCTCGGAGAATTGTACGGTACCACTTATTTAGTAGGCTCATCAACAAACGTATTATGTAAGTATCCGCAGTAAAAAAAAAGTACTCTTTGGCGCCTATAGAGATATGAACGATTTTATAATGATGCTGAATGTAAAAACTGTTTTAATGAAGCTTCTTCATTCTAAAACGTATATCAAACTTGAAAACATTTAATTCAGATTCAGCTGCCGGTGGTTCTGACGACTGGGTCAAGGGTGGAGCTGGGGTCAAATATGCTTACACAATTGAACTTCGTGACACTGGGTCACATGGCTTTGTACTTCCGGTGAACCAGATCGAGCCTACATGTAGAGAGTCATGGCGTGGCTTAGCGGCATTCGCGCTGTCCTTAAACACGATCCGGACAGGAAGTAGGGGATAGAGCAAGTTCATTTAACATTTATACAATGTGGTTGGTGCTATTAACATGTTTGTTTGTTTTTTCCAAATAAAACATCATCATACAAAATCTACTCTCATTTTTCTTCTGTATCAATCCATGTAAAAATTGCTACTGTATCGAACTGACTCATTTCAAAATATTTTTTAAAAGTTATATTGTGCTATGTAGCCTATATAAAACTTTAAAATTTTAAACAGTAACAAAATTACTGAGAAAATAAATCAGCCACCAAGGCGGGGGCAATCATCGAACCTGAATAATAAATTTCAATCTATGAATACATCTTTGAGAGAAAATTCATATTTGCGTATGATCTATTTAATCATAAAATTAAGATTTTAAAAAATTCTCTATGTACAATATATTTACAAGAAAGTCTATTTCAGTTTGACCTTTCTATATAGCTTTACTCATTTTAACAGAGCAATAGGGATGTTCTCGTTCAAGCAATCAAACGTTCACTTATTGTTTGGATTTCTCAAACATCACAGTGGTATATTTCTAATTTCTCTTAATACTTTGTGCAGAGATTATGATTTTATTTTTGACCTTCCTCTCACAAGGTCATTCAGAACTTGTCAGATATAAACCTCCATTGATTTCTTGAATCTATTTTTGGAGCCCATTATGATTTTGAAGGCGACGACTTCCTGAGCCTTCATTTCTCCGTGGGTCACAAACAGGACCGATTCTGCCATCCCATCCCACATATCGAGTCCCTGGGGCCGCTTAAGCTTCATACAAGGCGTTAAAATATGGCAGAGGAATTCCCCGGAAATCGAGAACATCGACACTCGATTGTTGTAGTAATCTGCTACGTATATGTTCTCCTCAAAATCTGACGTGATTCCATACGGGAAACGAAACTGTCCCGAATCTTGTCCGTAAGATCCGAATTTGTGAAGAAAGTTCCCATCGGAATCAAACACATTCACACAGTGCTTTCCAGAATCACAGACAAGTATTTTGTCCTTACACGTGACCTCAACATATCGAGGTTCTTCAAAAGTTATTGGGACATCCGGTTCCTGTCCCAGGCCTTTCAAAACCTCCCCGTCTTGATCAAGTATGTACACAGAGTCGGTATTGACGTCACTGACGACTATTCTACCCTTTCTATCGGTTGCTACCCCTGATGGTTTCACTAGCAGGTGACCGGCTATATCTTTAATATATTCTCCTTTTGCATCAAATATCGCCAGAGAGCCTGGTTTTTGTAGGGACACAACTAAGTTACCGTTCGGTAAAACAGCGGTTGCCCAAGGTTCGGAACCGGGTCCAGTGTTGATTTCATGGACAACACGCCCACTCATATGGAAAAGTGTCACCCTACAGTTAATGATATCCGTTACTATTATGGATCCGGAACTGAAGTGCGAAAGAGAGGTAGCATTTCTGAATTGTCCTTTTCCGGTTCCCCTTTTGCCTATGATGTTGTGGAGACTTATATTAACTCCGTCGGTCCCACCTGTACCGGAACATGAAGAATAACTCCGTTCTCTTTGAAAACTGTGTCTGAATCCTGTAAAAATCCAATAAAACAATTTTGCATAGTTTTATATATATTATTTTATCGTTTTTAAAAAAGGAAGGTTAATTTTTCTGTTATTTCTATTCGTTTTTTTACCTCGTTTAAAGTTCTCACAAATGGCGGGTGAGTAGCATACATCTGTAGGACATCTTCTGGTAGATTTTTTTCTGTGATTATTTGGACTTCCGGCTCTAAGAAAATCGGGACTTCCGGGCAAGAGTTCTGACAGGTTCTCAGAAGTAAATGATATCCTTCGCCCACCTGTCATGTATAACATTTTTGCCATCTTTATTGTATAACCATTCTTGACACAATTCAACTACCGGTAAGTAAACGAGTTGAAAATAAAAAAAAAATAACAAAAGGCCCAGGGGCCACAGCACAATGGCTAGAAAAAAAAGCAGAAATTACTTTAGTATTGAAAAGCTTGAATGCATAAGTGGTCCCAATCTATCCCTAAAAGGGAGAGGGCGTATGATTTGCAACAAGACTGAATCTACACTATCTTACTATTTAGGATGCTTACATATTTATTTGACTAACTGTAACTTTTTTCTTTCAAGTTTGATCTTTTATTGTGAACCTACCCAACTCCCAGACGCCATGATTTGTAAAAAAAAACATGGCTTAGTCGTTCTTGAGAAGAGTTTTAAAGATTTTTTTCTTTTGTGAAATGTCGACTGTCCCTTGAGGCCCAACCGTATTCCCCGGGGTTGTGATTTGAACAAACTTGAATCTAAACTACCTGATAATGCTTTCATATAAATATAAAAATTCATTGCTTTATTAATCTTGAGAAAAAGTTTTTAAAGATTTTTCCAATATATTCCGATGTAAAAATGTTATCATCGATTGTGGTCCCACCATACACCTGGGGGTCATGATTTGAAAAACTTGAATCTTTACTACCTGACAATGATTCCACACGAATTTCATCTTTCCTAGCCTATTGGTTCTTGAGAAGATTTTTCTATGATGCCATTATTTTTCCCTATTTCGTAGTGGAGCCACCAAATTTGTCTCCCCTTGGTTTAACCCACTTTTACACAAAAATTCCAAACTTTTACTTTGGAGTGTGTGGCATGAGCAGCCATGTTTTGTAAGCACGTCTTGTTTAAATTTAGAATTTAAATTATACTGACTATCACAAAATTATACTATTCTTATTTATCAATAATATTAAATAAATGCAAATGAGAAAGAATTTTTATGAAACTTCTATTTTGCAAAAACCTTCAATATTCCCATTACAAAAAGGACCCGACTGAGATGGCGATGTAAAATGCCTACCTAACAAAATCATGAAAATGTTATTGACAAAATCCGTACTCCCAATATACACTCAGGCTCCTGAGTTTTTAATTATTTGTTTTTTTTGAAAATTCTTCTTGAACAATGTGTTCAAATGACTCCCCTCTCCCATTTCATCGTTTTAATTTCATCGTCATTTAAATCACTGCCAATGAAGGGCAAACAAAAGAATATAGGCTATCAATTTAATATAAAACATGTCGTACCTAGAAGTTTGTTACTGGATTGGCGAGAGTCGGCCCTAGGGACACCTGCCGGATAAAGACTGCACGTGGAAACTTTTCTCGAGGAAAAACTCTCGTATCCGCTGTCACTCTCACACTGGTCTTTATCCGTAATAAAAATATCAAAGGGAAATAAAATGTTGAGGGTTGATGATAAAATATCTATAATATTATCTAAAATAATATCTACAATGTTGGTTCTTTATTATATCTAAAATTGGGGATCTTATTTAAGAATTTAGAATTCAATCCTAATTAGGTTGATACACATTTCAACTTCGGGTAAATTTCTTTTTGAAAAAAAAAAGAGAAAAAAAGTTGAATTCCACTGTTTTGGAGTAGAACATCATAGTTTCTCCCTAAATGTACCTGAGTTGAGAGAAGGATGTAGGTGATTGGTGTCGATTTCAGGGGGCGGGGTTAAATCACCTGCATCTTTAACTTTGTCGATCTCTGTTTCCACAGTGAACACTGGGTTGGTCTCAGATATCGATCGAAAACGAGTGGATTTCTCTAAAAACAAAAAAATTATATTTTTTATTGAAATTGTCATATGTGCAAAAATATATAGACCTTTTCAAATATGCACAACTAGCTAGATGAAAGCAAAACCTGACTTAAAAAAACTTATATCGTAAATTTATGTGTAGTGCTGATTAACATTTATATGTCTCACATCCCCAAATAATAACATTTAGGATAAAACATTAAGGTGGGTTCAGATACCATGTGGGAGTAAGCATTCCCATTAAGACTGGTCCCACCCACCTCAATTGTTCAATTGAATGGGTAATAAAAAGAACATCTAGTTAGATAAAGGTGCTTACCAATTTGTGTTAATGTTGTCATCAACATTCGACTTAACGAAAGCAAACAAGTTCATAGTATAAATCGTATGCAAGATTTCGATTTTAACGAGATATTATTACACAAGTAACATAAACTAGTTTGTCAACAACTTGTCTTGATATTGAAATACTTCTTACGTATCGAATCAACTGGATGGAATTAACACAGTCAGGTGCTATGGCATTTTTATATCAAGATAAGTGGGATATATGGGCAGCGGAAAGTTCAAAAAACCATCAAAATGAGAAAACATGACAGACAATTATTTTAATTTCAATGACCATAAAAACATATAATATACAATGCATAATCAACAGACCATTTCGCAGAACAAACACAAATTAAAGCAAAACCAACGACCACGTACGTAACAAACATATATGAATGCAAAACGAACGATCATCTTTGCAGAAGAAACGTTCATAAAAACGCGACAAACGAAACAAGAGGAACTGTGAGCAATGAGCTCACTAAATGATACCTCCCACTTCCCATATGAATATAATGGCAGTATCCATGTTTTGCTATGGGGAACCCAAAATATGTGTCGGATGAAAAAGTAAAATAGGAGGTGCACAATGGCCATATGTAATAAAGATTCTGTAAAAGTTTCATCAAATTTCATATTCAGTGGTATGAAAGGATTTGGAGATGGGTACCCCATAGCGTAACAGACGGACGGACATACCGATTACTATATACCCTCCCGCTTTTCAAGCGGGGGGATTAAAAAAAGAGGCCCATGGGCCACATCGCTCACCTGAGCACATTGGCTGGGAAATAAAGCAGGAATCACTTCAGTATTGAGAAGTTTACATGGGGGGGGGGGGGGTTCTGGAATTTCAAACTACCAACTACCTGATGATGCTTCCATACTACAAATGCCTTTGCTGTTTTTGAGCATATGATTTTTTCCCTATTTATTCATTTGACCCCCCCCCCCCCCGATTGTGGCCCAGCCCTACCCATGGGAGCCCTCATTTGAACCCGTATGACTTTGTACTACCTGAATGTCTCTATATCAAAATGATTAAACATGGCTTTTCTGTTCTTGGGAAAACAATTTTCCTTGATATTTCTAGGCAAAAGTTTGATCCCCAATTGTGGCTCACCCTACCCAACCCCTGCTTCCCATTCATGACTTGAACAAACTTGAATCAACACTACGTGAGGATGCTTACATAAAGATATGACCAATCATGGCTTTGTAGTTCTTTAAAAGAAGAGTTAAAAAAAAATTTCTGATGTATTCATTTCTATAGAAAACTTTACTCGTCCATTGTGGCCCCGCCCTACCCCTTGGGGTCATGATTTGAACAATCTTGAATCCACTGGTATACTGGCATACTACCTGTTTCATCTTTCCTGGCCCAGTGGTTCTTGAGAAGATTTTCAAAGATTTTTCCTATACATTCCTATGTAAATCTTTGATCGTCAGTTGTGGCCGGGTCCTACCCCCGGGAGTCATGATTTGAACAAAATTGAAACAGAATCTATACTACCTGATGATGCTTCCGTATAAGTTTCATTTTTACTGGCCCAGTGGTTCTGGAGAAGAAGATTTAAAAAAAAAAATCCTATATATTCCTATGTTTAACTTTGATCAGCCATTGTGGCCGTGCCCTACCCCCAGGATGATGATTTGAACAAAATTGAATCTACACTACCTGAGGATGCTTCCACATAAGTTTTATCTTTCCTGGCCCGGTGGTTCTGGAGAAGAAGATTTTTAAAAGATGCCATTAATTTTTTATTAATTCATAATTATCTCCCCTTGGAAGAGGGCTTGGCCCTTTGTTTGAACAAACTTGAATCCCCTTCACAGAAGGATACTTTGTGGCAAGTTTGTTGAAATTGGCCCAGTGGTTCTTGAGAAGAAGATGAAAATGTGAAAAGTTTACGACGACGACAACGACAACGACTACATCGACAGACAACGGACAAATGATCAGCCTTTGGCTCAAGTGAGCTAAAAATAACAAACGGGCAAGCGGTAAATCTAGTCTTCACGACTCCCGACGGTTGTGGATTTTTTTTTTGGGGGGGGGGGGGGGGGGGGGTTTTTTTTTTTGTGGGTTTGGTTAACACATTTTCTAGGTTTAAATGAATTCACTAATATGTAAAAAAAAAAAAAAAAATCAACAAATTTGCGTATTTATTAAAGGAATGTTTTTAAGTTTAGTGTGAATTATTGGTGTGTAAATCACACTGACTTGTCACGTAGGCATATTTCATGAAGCGCACGATTCCTTATATTTATATTTAACATGTTTGTAAGCACCAATACGGTGGTATATTTAGGACACGCAATTATTTTTTTTTTAAATACCAGAAAAAAAATTATCTTGTTTTCAAAACGAAAATTATCTTGAAAACGACTTATTATCTTGTGATAAAAGATAATAAGACTTTTCGTTTTCACAAGATAATAAGTCGTTTTCACAAGATAATATCTCGTTTTCACAAGATAATATCTCGTTTTCACAAGATAATAAGTCGTTTTCACAAGATAATATCTCGTTTTCACAAGATAATATGTCGTTTTCACAAGATAATATCTCGTTTTCACAAGATAATATGTCGTTTTCACAAGATAATATCTCGTTTTCACAAGATATTATGTCTTTTTCACAAGATAATTATGTCGTTTTCACAAGATAATTTTTTCTGGTATTTAAAAAAAAATAATTGCGTGTCCTAAATATACCACCGTACACCAAAAAATTCTCAAAATTTAAATTTCTCACGTTAGCTTGAAATTCTCCGTGTATATTTCTACACGTGAGAGTACACGAATGTGGGTTTCAAATAAATTTCACAGTTGGCTTACTAGAAAAACACAGCGAATGTAAATATTACTGAATATTTCCATTTCTATTTGTTTTCTCTGTGATAATTCTTTGCAAGTAAGTGGAATCGATTTCTTGATAATTCTATCGGAATGTAAATTAGGTAAATCGATAGGTCAAGAGCTAAGGATGCCTAATATGTATATATTTCCATTTCTAATTTTTTTCTCTGTGATATACTCTTTGAAAGTTGTCGGAATTTATTTCTTAATAATTCTGCCGGAATGTAAATTAGGCAGGTCGATAGATCAGAAGTTAAGAAGGCCTAAAATGCATGTAAATCTCGTGCGCATCTGTCTCTGTGTCTGACGCTAAGGAGGCAAAATGTGCATGTAAATCTCGTGCGGCTGCCTAGGTGTTTGACGTCATTGGGCGAGGATTACTGAAATTGGCATGGAAATCCTCGTGTAATTTAAGTCTATGTCTACAATTTTAAAGTCTAAATCTACCATTTTATTTCACAATGAAATGAAAATATAAGGAATCACTGTCTAGTTAGGAGAGTATGCCAGGGACATCAACAATAGTGGGAAACATGGGATAATTTTAGCATAACGGGCTTCGCCCGTTATGCAAATTATCCCATGTTTCCCATATGTATATATACTCTCCAAACTAGACAGTGATTCCTTAAATATCTCGTGCTGCTGTCTTTGTGTTTGACGTCAGTGGGCGAGGACTATTAAAATTGGCATGGGTGTTCTCGTGTAATTTAAATCAATGTCTACATTTTTTAAAGTCTAAATCTACAATTTTATTTCACAATGAAATGGAAATATAAGGAATCAATGTCTTAGTTAGTATAGTATGCCAGGGACATCAACGATATTGGGAAACATGGGATAATTTATGCATGAGGGGCTTCGCCTCCTGTAATTTCAAATTATTAGTCTACATTTTTAAAATCTAATTCTACAATTTTATTTCACAATGAAATGGAAATACAAGGAAGCTCTGTCTAGTTGGTATAGTTTTGTGATGTTACCTATTTTCTATAGTATCCTAATTTCGATATGCTACTGTTTTTAACAAGAAATTGAAAACCCTTTCATCATTTTTCGGAACTCTTATCCCAAAATTAGCATCAGATGTAAAGAGTTTTAAAAAGCCAAACCGATAATGTCATTTAATTTAGAGAAGTAAGATTCTATTTATCTCTTTATCTATTCAAATCACGTCATTCTCTCATAGGGCAAAAAATCAAGTTAAAACCATATCTCCTAAGCCTGAAAACAATATCTAATCACCCTATGTTATCGTCTGTTAAAAAGCTCTGTGTTACGGCCTATAGATAAATAAACCCCACTTTGGGCAAACTTCCGCTTAAAAAAAAAAAATAAAGTAAGGAAGGTCGTTTCAGGTTTTTTATTTGAAATTTCAGTATTTAATTTAATCAATATTTTATTACGTAAGTAAGATTACATAATTGGATTGTACATCAGGCATGGCCTATATAAGTCCTCTCCAAGGTCAAGGTTACAAATGTTAAGAATTGACAATGATTTACAATGATGAAAAAATTTCCTCATAAGTTACATTAATTTCTTTTGTTATCTAAGGTGGGAAAAGGAAAAGAAAAAAATGAATCGAATTAAATTATACAGAAGCGTTATTACTAAGTACGTATACATGGTATACTCGCTATACAATAAAATGACAAAAAAATAAAGAAGTGCAAACAAAAAGCAAAACAGAATAAGTAAACAAATAAAGTGCAAAGAACAAATATGTAAAGAAAAATACAAAACAGAAGGAAATAGTGACATTAAAAAATAAATAAATTTTGATCAAGCAATAACACTGAGTAAAGAAAAA